GTTGCGTCGTCGCGGTCGGTCCCTTACCCGATGGACCGGTGGGACACCATGGCTGTCGCGCTGGGCGAACAATTGTCGGCACCGCTCGTAACAAGCTTCGGAATCCGACGAGGCTGGCCGTAAGTGGAGGTTGTATAATCGCTGCTCGGCTTCGGTTCGGGTTCGTCGGATAAATCCCGAAGCCCGGTATGCCTGGTACCGCTGGCACTCCTCGCACGATGGGCAGGGCCAATAGCGAGCTATGGAATTCCACGGTAGCACTGTGAGCTAGTGATATGGAGAGAGGAGATGGAAGGGAGGGAAATAGGTATTAATAACGACGAAGCCCGAAGATCTGTAATATTGAGTGTTGTCAGTATCTGGATAGTCTGGGCCCCTACGATCGCTAGTTATGGCCCAGTGGAAATCCCCCGCGCACAGTCGGTCATTCTCCGTTAGACAGGGGAATTCCGGGTTTCTCAAGTCTCCCCGTCGTCTGAGATGCTCACCTTCCCAGTACTCGCGATACTCTGGGTCCCTCAGGCTTTCACAATCGGTGATCCAAAAGGGAATTTCCACCGCCATATCCGGCTACGGAATTCAGTTTCCCACATCCTTATGATGAATTCGAGGCCAACTCATGCAGGCGAGCGCGTGCGCTGCGACTCGGTTTTCTCGAGATCGCGGTCGTCAGTGAGCGTGCACATGAGCGAAAGTGGGTCGCTCCTGGGTTCAGTATACCGATTGCGTTCGTCCTGCATGCAACTATCCAACTCATGCTATATTGGGTGAGATCCAGACATTATATTCATATCCATGTCATTCACGTGACGAAAAGGAGAGAAAAGGGGAAAGGACAATCAACACTTCACGGCATTCTTGGTGATCTGATGACGATCGAAGACTAACGATTAAACCCAAACATCCGTACTAAGCGCTTCCAATCAGATCTGAGAGTATTGCTCATGCAGATGGATAATAGAAGGTGACAAAATTTGAATTAAACAGGCATCGCAAAACAAGATTGGAAATCCGAAAAGATCATTAGTGAAAAAGAGTTCACATCCATTCCATGCTTACACACGAGGCAAAAAAGCGACAAAGAAAATCCGAGACGTTTTACAAGGAAAAGTCTGAAAAGGCCGCAACAAAATCGACCATAGTAGGAACCAAAATTATACAGATAAGCGACAAAAGGGACCTCATCCCGCACACACAGTTGCTCTCTCTCTCTCTCTCTCTCTCTCTCTCTCTCTCTCTCTCTCTCTCTCTCTCTCTCTCTCTCTCTCTCTCTCTCTCTCTCTCTCTCTCTCTCTCTCTCTCTCTCTCTCTCTCTCTCTCTCACACTCATTGCTCTACACCCTCGATGCGGGCAGTCCGTCGCCGCGTATCAACACAGAGTTGTCACCCCGCTTGGTTCGAGCATGCAAGCCAGGTTCGCCCGTGCGCCACAGTCCGTCGCGGCCCGCACGTCAACCGCGCACACCGGACACCGGCTCGTCGGATCGCCCAACTCCCTCATCGCCTCGCCTCTCAGGCTGACTCGTTAGCCGACCCTCACTGATCGCGCTAACCCCAAAGTTCATAGAGAGCAAACTAATCGCGCTTGTGAAATTTATAGCACGCATGCTTGCACGAAAGGTACGGGATTAAGCCCAAGTGGTCAGGAGGAGAAAAGAGGAAGTGCCTACGTCTGCATGGCCAGACCACGGCGTGGGGGTCGTAGCCACACTCCACGCATCGATCCGATCATGTAGGCGTTCAGGCCAATTAGAACAGAGTATGCAAGGGGAGGAAGAAGGAGAAGGCGGGCAAACACGAGGAAACCAAAAAAGAAGAAAGATATAGTTACAATCGCGCCCGCCAAAAACGACAGTTACACAAGATTAAGGGCACGATCCAGTCAGAGCCCAGTTCCTAGTGCTGCAAGATGTGCGCGAGTGAGAAGCGCGGCACAACAAAATTCAGAATACCCATATTCCTAGCCTAAGTCCTAATTGCAAAAAGAAAATTCCCAAGAGCCCAAAAACATTTCCGCGAGCACATGGGGGCTTGACGTTGGTTAAAAATTCAAAAACGATATTCCCGCGCGATGATCGCGCCAAAAATTCCTAGTGCTCACGGCAGAACAAGAAAGAAGCCATGGCAACCGTTGTCCATCGCGCTCGCTAAGGCGTGGTTACCCAATCGTCGGCGCGGGACTTTCCCGACACCGACCCGATAGAAAACAAAAAGAATGAGGGTATCCATGCAACTTGGCCCGACCAACCCATTTTCTCCGCAGCTCACCCATCCGACCCGTCTCATTTCCCCAAGGCAGCTTCGCGCAGAAAGTCACGCGATTACAAAAAATGATTCGTCACATACCCATCGCGGAGATCTATGCTGCCCCCAACCATGGATGGCCACGTGGACGTCGACGATATCCTGGACCACAGAGACACGCCTGTTCCCAAGCCACCTGGCAGGGGTAGACCTCCTAAACCTGCAAGGGAGTACAGAGTACATTTCAGGCATCATACTGATCCTAAGGAAGATCGATGGATTCCCAGGGAGGAACTTGTCAAGACAGCTCCTCAGATCGTGGCAGAATATGAGAAGAAACTGAAGGGGAAGGCACCAGCATGAAGCATCTCAGCGGCCTTCGAAGCTAAGGGGGATGGAATGCGAGGAACAAGCCCTCACGGGGCCCTATCAGACATCACATGTTCTGGGCAAAGGCCCCCAGCAAGCCAAGTGCCCGCCCTAAATGAACGCGGGCCTGAATATTCGTCAAGGGCCAAAATTTGACACTTTCGTATGTGGGTATGCAGGCTCTTGCAGCACGCCAGTTGGTTGAATGGACGCGCAAGCCTCACTAAGCTGCACCGTACAGTTGGCCCAGGCCTTGACAGTTGCGCCTGGGCACATACACACAAATCAGGGCCGATACATTGAGAAGCAGGCCATCGGCCTATGCAAAAGCAGTACTGTCGACGCACCTACCTGGGAGCCCTGCACAGATGCAGCAAACACCCCAAGTCCGAAGACTCAGGCCGTGCCCAACTGTAAAAGGGGCCCAGGCGCTCAACTGTAGACTCGGGCCTGGGCGCAGGGACTGAGGCCCAACCAGAAGCTACTGGAAGTGTCCAGCCAGGCCACACACAGCATCCAGGAGGCTGCCACTTCCATAAAAGAAGTGAGGCAGCCCAGGCCAGGCATTCTGGCCTGCGTAGGCAATGCGGAAGTGCTGCTGCACTACTGCTTGATGCTGCGCTGCGGCCAAGGGTGCTAACCGACCGCATAGAGGTGAAGTGGGGCGCTGCAGGGCAGCGGGGCGCAGGCAGCCATAGCCGGGCTGCTGGACGCCAGGGGGGTGCAGCGGGCGATCTGGTGGTCTTCAGGGAAGGAGGCGAGTGTGGGTTCTCAAGGTCTGATGAGGGTGACGAGATACGTACCTGATGCATGAAGAGAGGTCGGCTATGGTGTTGACATCATGTACACTGGTCTTCGGGAGTCGAAGTGAGCCTGCTGCGGGGAGACAGCTGTAGGTAGGATAGTAGAGTAGAGTGGGCTGGGGCGCTGGGCGCCAGACAGAGAGGAGCGACTTTTGATACTGTGTTGGTGTGGCCTACGTGCTTGGACATTGGCTCATTACTTCATTGTATTGCTCTATTTGGATGGATTATCGGTGCTATTGTGCTCTCTGCTTGTACACGACTACTCAGACATCTGTGTGATTTCGCAACTTGGTTTTCTGTATAACGTTCACACTCATATTCCTTGCAGAAGTCTTTCAAAATAAAAATAAAAGTTATTTTTCCGAAAGAAAAAACAAAAGTAAGATGACCAGAACGTGATTGACTGTGGCTGTGATGATCAGAGCGCCGACGGGATCTGAATCACAGGCATATGTATGTTTCTGCAAGTGAATAGGGATCCCGAGAGCTTGTAAAATTGCCATCATCATTGCTAATGCCGCATCGCCATCATTACTACCGTGTAAATCGCGATCACTCTTATTATTATTATTATCATCATCATCATTATTATTATTATTATTATTATTATTATTATTATTATTATTATTATATGACTATTACATTATTACTATATTATTCTTTTTATATTATTATATTACGATTTTGTTGTTATCACTATTATTAGATACTGTTTTATTATCTTTGTATCAATGCGTTCAACAGAAGCAGCACACGGAAACTAGGGGGAGACATCTTCAAACGCACAGCCCTCCTTCGTTCACCGAGTGAACTCAGACGCGCACGTGAGCGAGGCCCTGATTCCTGTGAGCTGGGGTAGGGGGAGAGAAGGGGGGGGGGGGGGGGGGGGGGGGGGGGGGGGGGGGGGGGGGGGGGGGGGGGGGGGGGGGGGGGGGGTAGGAGGCAGGAACAAATTGAGGGGGTGAGAAAGATGTGAGGAAGGTCATGATGCGAAGGACGTGAAATGAAATGAGGGTGAAAAAAGGTGAAAAGGAGAGGGAGGAGGAAAGATAGGGAGGTGTTGCCGGAGATGATGGGAAATGACAAAATGTCTCTTTTCTTCTTATCAATTCGCTTTCGTCCTCTCCTCTTTTCCAAAAGAGGAGCTTTGTGCCAAAGGAGTGTAAGAAATAAAACCAAGTCAATAAAATCCACACATTCGGGCTCTCTCCACACTCACTACATGCACGAAAGACAAAACATTTGTCCGTGTTTCTTCCCATGTTCTAGCCCAAGATTCATTCTCATTTTTGCACATTTGGCTAGTAGCAGAGCCAGGCGAATCTAGCTCATTTTTGCATATTTGGCCGTGTTTCTTCCCATGTTCTAGCGCAAGATTCATTCTCATTTTTGCACATTTGGCGAGTAGCAGCGCCAGGCCCATCTAGCTCATTTTTGCATATTTGGCCGTGTTTCTTTCCATATTCTAGCCCAAGATTCGTTCTCATTTTTGCACCTTTGGCGAGTAGCAGCGCCAGGCCCATCCGCACAATAACAATGTCATGTATGCTATTGGAGTTACTCAAGAAAAAGCAGACACACCTCATTCAATCCCGTCCGTAGATCCTCTTCATCAAGCTCCTCTTCCCAATTTGACCCCTGGTTCTCGTCTGAGGGCGGTACAGCGCGGGCGAGCTGTTGTTCCCCTCGCCTCCGAACCGTTTCCGCACCTCTTCCAAACCTGGAGCGGGTCTGTTTTGTCGGTTCTCTGAGGACTCGAACCTGTCCCAAGCCGTCACCATGAACATGAGCACGTGGCCTTTGGCTATCGGCCGGCACAAGCTTTGACCAGCCGCTGCTAGACCTGCCATTTGAGCAGAAGCCCAATTCCCTATCCACCATCGCCGACGTCGAAGCCGCTGCCACCATAGCCGAAGCTGACGTGGTCGTGGAAGACGGCATGAAGGACGAAGAAGACGACCCATTCTGGGTCGCCAGTCTCAAGGATCGACGGCCGAGGTGCAGGGCAAAGGAGGTGAGTAGAGAGGATCTAGCACGGCACGCTAGGGGCCATCTTCTTCTAGCCGCCGGCAGGCTAGCCCTGCAGCTTGAACAAGACGCCGCATCGCTATCGCGCCGCGTAGTGGCGGAAAGAGCGGCCCACGTCGACGAGCCGGCGACGGCCGCCGTGGTGCACGCAGCCATGTGTCGGTCGCTCGTGCCGCAGCTGCCACGTGGACCGAACGCCTTTCTCCTTGCTTCGCGCTTCAACGAACGGAATGTCACAAGCACCCGAGTAGACGGTGGGACAACGTAATAGCGACAGCAAGCTGCCCCAGCCTTCTGCGGCGGCTTTCTATCCGGTGGCGGAACACGTGCATTTCGAATCCCCCAACAAAAAAATAGAACGGCCCCCAAAAAAATAGAACGAGAATAGTAATAATACGGATAATTTGGGAAATACCCCTTTAAGTTTGAGATATATGCCAAAATGCCACTAAAAGATGTGGGTAGAGCCGAATGCCCGTTTGGACCTAATTCTTTGCGTTTTGCCCCTATCAGGCCCGTGTCCAAATTTGCAATCTGGACCGCTTCGTTGGGGCCTGGGCCTGCACCCTGTCTTACCCAGGCCCATAGGCGCGGCAGTTTGCCTCTGTGATTCAAACGTTCGCATTCGAACTGTCACGCTGTGTTCTGCAGCTTCGCCCTGGTAATCTTGCCCATCTCCAACTCCTTATCCCCCGCCATTCCTCCAAGTTCTCTTCGTTTGCCATC